AGAAATTTGTGAGTTATCCTCTGATACCCCTCTGCAGGGGTGTTGCCACACCTGGACAGCCCTCTATGGGAAAGAAGAATCTCTCTGTCGCCACTGGGAGGGAAAATCTCAGAAGCTGGGAGAAAGCACAGTGCAGGGTTAAAAAATGGCCATAGGATGAGCAAAAATGACACAGGATTGCTAGTGAAAGGTTGATTTCTAGGTATCTAGACCACATGGGAATCCCATGAGTGAAGGAAGTTCTGGGAGGAGGGGAGAGTTGAGTCCTGAAGGTAGCCTGTGCTTGCTAGGAGGAGCATGATGTCTTAGCTGTCTCCATTCACTTCTCACAGGCCAAACATAAGCGTTACTTTGGTCACTCAGCTCACGTAACGAACATCCGTTTCTCTCATGATGACAAGTACGTGGTCAGCGCTGGAGGAGACGACTGCAGGTACCAATGTGATGTATGGGGCCCTGAGTCCTCTCCCGCCCTGGGTCAGCCCTGCCCAGGAACATAAACAGGAAGACATAAACAGGAAAATTCAGTGAGACTCAAGGAGTTCCCAAGTATTGTGTCTTTGGAGATACCCAACCCAGATCTTGGAGTCCTTTGTGCGCAGCTGTAGGATAAGCACCAGACTCCTGGCCAGATTAGCGATTTCAATGCACCAGCCACTCCTTAGAAACCCTATACGTCAGTATGAGTCAGAACCAACTCGACAGCACTTAACCCAGATCCTGACAAGCTTGGTCCTAACTACAGCAGCCTTAGGGTTGGCAAGAAGCCAAGGGCACATGACCAGCAACTCTGAGCACTGCTGAGGGAGGCAGGGGGCAGGTGGGTGAGACGCCCAGTGTTCTCTGTCAGCCAGAGCTTTTGAAGTAGAGTGCCCGCGGTGCCGTTGGGTTATCAGGAGGTTAGAATGGCCTTGATTACACCCTCTAAGTACTTCCAATGGATCCTAAAGTTCTTAAGATGTATGAGTAACCCACAGCTCTGAGAGGTTTCAAAACACCAATAATTAGGCTCAGTCCCTTTGCAAAAGAAGCAAAGCAGATGTTACCCCCATTTCACAGAAGAGATGAGCTGGGAGGTAAGGTTATCAGGCCCACTGCCAGTAACAATCTCAGACAGGTTTTTGGACCTCTGAGTCAGGGCTGCTTTTGACTTCAAACTGCTGCTCCATGTGAACTGGGCACACTGTTCCCATGCGGTGTATGCCGAAGGATCTCCTACCAGCCTGCTCCAGAGGACCCGTCTCTTCAAACATTCCCAAGTAGGCCCGTCTTCTGTACCTACACCTAAGGCATATTTCACTTGGAGTGTGGGGGACAGAGCGAGGTCATTCTAACCCATTCAGTTTCTCTCCATCTTGACAGTGTTGAGGGGCTTTATTGTAGCTTGAATACCCGCTGCCATCGAGTTGACTCTGACTCACGGCAACCCTAAGTAAGGTCTCTAAGCGTATAAACAGGAGCAGAAAAGCCTCTTGTTAGTCCCAAAAAGTGGCGGCTGGTGGATTCAAACTGCTGACCTTGTGGTTAGCAGCCCAAAGCAAAATGCACCATGCCACTAGGGCTCCCTTGAAGCATGAATAGCCCTTTCTATTAAGCCCAATTAAGACTTGAAAAATCCATGCATTCTTGAAGTTTTTTAGCAGTCTGAATTAGGGTATGGAAAAGGCAGTTTCATCCCACTTGCCACCCAAATGCACTGTGTTGAGAATGGCTCAAGGATGACATCCAGCAGCCTGCCTGGGAGCGCCCCACCTCTGACCCACTGTGCCACGGAGTGCTGGACTTTGAACTCTGGAGATGGTACTTCGAGTCACTCCCTGTGAAATGCAAGCACCCGTTCCAAGCAGCACCAGATAAACTGTGTACAAGTTAGAAATAAGAGACCTAAGCAGACTGATCACCCAGTGCAGGAGAGGTGCTGACTTCTGATCGTGTAAAAGGCTGAGAAGGAACCTTAAAATGCAGGGTCCCTAAAGACCTTTGTGGGCAGGAGCTTGCTTTGATCCCTGGCTCTGTGCTAAATAAACACTAGCAAGGGCTCTCTTACTCAAGTGGAGTTGATAAAAGCTTTTCAACCCTAACAAGAGAGATACTGTGAAGGTAGGTTGCCAAAACTTCTCATGGACTACATTCAGCACACTCGGGCTGCTGAAAGAGCCAAGTGCTTCGGCACATGAGTGCATACACACACTGGTTTGCTGTTTGAAATTGAAATAGGTCAATATCACCTGAGTCTGACTCTCCAGTACTTGGCAAGATGGTTTCTTGACACGTGATGAAAGTGTAGCATTTAGCTGTGCAAAATAACGGTTTGGTCTGCCTTTTTAGTGTATTTGTGTGGCGATGTCTGTAAACACCAGAAACCTCTTGCATTACTGCTGCTGCTGCTACCACCCAGTGACCACGGAGGCAACGACGAAGCAAGCCCCTCACCACTGACTACTGGAAAAGCCTGCCATGCTGCGGGAACGGACGCACAGGCTCGGAGTGCTGAAGACTGTAGTGGCTGCTTTCATGGGCTGGACTCTCCAAAGCTGTGGTGCCAAGGGAGGGAAGGTCAAGTTCTAAGATGTTAAAACTACTGGCCTCTGTTCCTGAGACAAAGAAAACAAAAAACTCCACAGCCTAACACAATTGACACACACAAAAAATTGTATCGATAAGGTAGCCCACTGACAAAATTGAACGCCTCAGTTACTCTAACCAATATGTAGCTTTTAATTTGCATCAAAACTTTTACAAAAGATGTTTTGCTATTGTTTCTATATACTTTAAGAATGTTCATCTTTTTACAAATAAGTAAACTGAACAAGACAGTTTAAGTTAGATCTGCCTAAGTACTAGGAATAGAAATCGTCAGCTCTCCATATTTAGCTTTCAAAAACCAAATGAGCCATGTATAAACAAGTTGAGAAACTTAGTTTTTTAATGTTTCATTTGCAGAGTTTTATATCCATGAAGTGCCTTTGAAAGTTTCCAGTTGTGTGGGCTGCTGTCTCACCTCCCACAAATTATCTGCTTTCTACATCTGGTGCTAAAACTTTGAAACTGAGGAGGGCTCCAGGACCCTCAGCAGGTATAGTGTCTGTCACTCATGTCCTGTGTTTATGTCTAGGCTTCCAAAATGATGGACATCAGTTACCTGCTTGAGAAATCGTGGGTACAGGAAGGTGCACAGCAAAGAAACAAGTGCAGGAGGGAGGGGCTAGGGTGGGCTTTCATTAGTGCCAAATCCACAAAATTCAAAACAGAATTCAAACAAAGCAAACTGGAAGTGAAAACAGGGAGGAAAAGCTCAAGTGGGTCTAAGAGAGGATGAGCTTATTTTTATTTCTCTTGTTGAAATTGAAAATGGTAACAAGTGGGTGACCTAAGGATGCCCCTTGGTTTACCACCTTCATGGGGTGTTGACTTGACTCCACTGATTTGCTTTCAGGTGAGCTACAGGTCAAATCTGAGTAAAAATCTGCAAAACTAATTCCTCTAAGCCCAGGCAATCTTTGATCAAAAGTATATAGTTCACAATTGCTCAGAGATTGTAACCAGAGGAGTTCCCTACAGCATCTGCGCTGCTGAATAGAAGGGTGGTGACATGAACCACTCGGTTCATTCTGGGTCTTGAGCTCTTGATTTGTAGTTATCCACTTACAGAAAAGGGGAAACAAGGCACTTTTCAGCTAAAGAACAGAAACAGTTACCCGAGCAGTGCTTCAGCCTTGTAAATGGAGGGGATTTCTCACAGCTATTTCTATGTACCAGTTTATTAATGCCTTACATTAATCTACTGATAGGTAAGTTGCTGGGCCCACAATCCGAGTCCCCCTATGAGTCCCACTTCTGTTTCCTGTAACCATGTGACTGGTGATGCTGAGTGATAACCATGTCTGCTTATGTTGTACTACTGACCCTTCACACTGATTGATCTATCTATACTGAAGTAACCAGTGGTGATATGTACAACTATATTTAAAGAGCAATAGTGTCTGTGTGTCAAGAAAACTTCTTAAATCTTATTTGTAAAGATTTATATGGTATGATTTTATGTATGTTCATAAATCTTGCACTGTATCCTATTATATGTTACAATATTGGTGCATGAATTTATTTTCAAAGTATAAAAAAAAAACTAATTTAAAAACATTTTTGGTATGTGTCAAATAAATTTGATTATGAAAACATTTTTGGTATGTGTCAAATGTTCTTTGTAGACTTTTGTTTCCAAAGTAAACGCAGCTGCTGCACCATGAGCTGAAATCTCCTAAAGCACAAGCTGCCAAGTCTCACTGACTGAAACAAGGTGTGCCCATCATGTATGTATCCTTTTAACTTGCAACAATTTCAGGAAACAAGTATACTTTTAAGTCTATAAGCTTTATTGATACTTTGCTTTTACAGTTCACAATGCATTCCACAGATTTAGTTCAGTACAGCTTAAACCACAATGGTATAAATCTTCAATTTATAATTTCTTGCATAATAACAACATTTGATACTCGCAAACAGTTTCTTGGAAGCATTAAATTCCATCCATAGATTCGGAGTTTGACAAAATTAACTATACAAGTAAGGGTATGCAATGAAGTTGATGCTGAGTCCTATGTGCATGGCATTGTTTCTTACTGAAACAGATGGTAGTGCTCCTAGAAATGAATTTTCTTTTCGTAGCGTATGTGCTTTGGAACGAAACACATAAATAACCAACAACTCTGAAATATCAAGCACTGTGGGGGCAAGCTGGAAGGTGAAGGTCTAAGCTTTGTGAAATACTATATATATATATAGATGTATATATAACCTATATTTACTTATATTGGCAATGACTACAACATTATAATTCACAATACACCTAGAACATACCAGAAAGGCAAGCCTTCTCACTCATTCCTGTATTCAGTGGTATGATCTCGTCTAAACAGTCCATTTCAGGAAATCTGCATCTACACAGACCATACACAGTACACAAACTGTGAAAAGGTTGTTTTTTTTTTTTTTTTTTCAATTCCACCTTCTCTGCGACTTCTCCAAACACAGCAAGACTACCTGTGACAAAGTGTAATAATATACAGCCTCCTCAGCTCTTTCACCAGTGCCTCACACAAGAAAAACAAATATAATCACGGTTTAAATCCATACAGAGCAGCGTACAATACCTTAGATGATGAACACAGGGCAGTCAAGACAATTTTTCCTCAAACACTGCATTGCTGAAAATAAAGATCTGTGAAACTGCACTGCAATGTCAAGGGTGCAGTCTTCCCTGGCCCTCCCCCATGTGACAAATGAATATCCCCTTTAAAGATGAATTCGTATTGTTAATTATTCTGGACTTTTCATTCAGCTTTGCGCTTCAATCCAGGGATTTTCGCTTGGATCCTACAAAAGGCAAGAGAAATGTAAATAGTTAAAAATGGTATTTTGTTTTCTGCTCCAAATGGCATCCCTTCAAGAACTTACTCGGCTTATAAAAGCCACCATACCCTAGAGCTGCTAAGCCATCAGCTGTAATTTTGCTACCACATCCTCACAAATGAGATTTAAAGAAAGCCTCAAATATGCATAGAAACCCTCGAAATTTGCTTTTCGTTAGCCTATAATATGGGATACTGCAGTGTCTTCAAAGTCTAGCACACCTAGCCTTGAATTATTTGTATAGTTGACCATTTAAAAATACTTACTTAGCCATAGCATCTTTAACATTCTTATTCACGAGTGCTAGATAATGATCTATCTGAGTCTGGAAGAGATAAAAAGGAGTTATTAGAAAATCTTATGAACCATTACTTGGTGCAGTAAATGAAGAGTCATCACATTTCCCATTTTAATAAGGCTTTGGTAAGCTAGAACAGACACATGTGCATATCCCACAGAACACACTGAGCACCATATTAAGAAATTACCTGATGCCGTTCATAAATAACAGGAACACTGAATAGTGAAATCAGGGCTGAAAAGGGAAATAGACAACTGTTAAAAGTGACTAGTGTGTTTTAGAGAACAAACTGACAACACTCTCAAGATATAATCAGTCAGTAACCCTAATGAATCAACACACACAAGCATTTCCTCGATGGATCTGTTGTTGGGGAACCACTCCTGGCTTGGAATCCCAGCCCTTCAATCAGACCCTTCATAAATACAGGCAATGGCTGTTAAGTGAATTTACATCTGTTAACATTAGATAAAGCCATTCTGTATCTGTTGGAACAGTCTTTGAAACTTAAGTAATGTCTCTGAGCAACTTACACCCAGTCTATTTAATTCTGCAATTTTTCATTCCACTGACTTTTGTATACTTACCCAAAATCAGTAGTGTAAGTCCATTGAACAAGGCACCAACATAGGTAAACACCCACATCAACACTGCAAACTATAAGAAAATAACAAAATTATAAAATTCAAGTAAAGTTTCTTCATTACTAAATTTTCAAATAAAAGCACCCCCATATACATGCCGATCTACTTGAGGCCTATACTTCGGACACTTGGTAAAAGTAATACGAATATTTCACTTATAACGGTCTAAATTCAGAATTTCAGAATCCAAATGAACTACACAAGATAGCTGATTCTGTGTTGTCTCAGATCAGAAACAAGTACCAAAGGGGTGTATATATATATATATATATATACACACCTTACCCCTTTCAACTCTATTAACATTTAATTTAAAAGGTGGTTACGAATCGGGCTGCGAGCCTCAAGGTCAGCAGTTCAAAACTACAGCTGTTCCGCGGGAGAAAGATGAGGTTTTCTGCTCCCGTAAAGATTTACAGCCTTGGAAACCCTGTGCAGGGTCGCTATGAGTCGGAACCGACTCCACGGCACATAACAACATCAGAAACAAATGCAGAATAATGTGCTGGACCCCAAGGTCAGTTTTAACCGCAAGGTCGGCAGTTCAAACTCACCAGATGCTACTTGGAAATCCTATACAGGGTCACTATGAATAGAACTGACTTAGCGGCACTTAACAACAAAGTAATTAAAGATACATATTAACTGAATAATTCAGGCATTATTGTTGCTAAGTACCATGGAGTTAGTTTCTACTCATAGTGAACCTGTGTAGGGTTTCCGAGGCTTTAAATCTTTTGTGGAACCAGAAAGCCTCATCTTTCTCTCACAGGTGGGCTTGAAACACTGACTTTGTGGTTTACAGTCCAATGTCTACCCTATGGGAGTACCTTAATAAACATCAAAGAAACTATGTTTCAGGTACCTAAACATCACCTTACGCATGTTATTGATGAGAAGCACTGTCTGCCCCATGATACATATGTTAACCATCAACAGTTAACCTTGGCAATGAAGACTCCTTAAACTTCTACTTCTGTAAAAATTCTTCTTAGTCGCTGCTGCCTTCATATTTAACATTAATATAGGAGTCCTGGTGTGGCGCTGTGGGCTAATGCGTCAGACTGCAAAGTTGTTTTAACTACAAGGTCGGTGGTTCAAGCTCACCAGCTGCTCTTTGGAAAACCTATACAGGATCACTATGGGTCTTGAAGGCACTTAACAACAACAACATAGTGTTAACTGTTGTCCTGGTGTGGTGCTATAGGATAAGCATTGTGTTGCTTACCACAAGGTCAGTGATTCCCACCAGTTGCTCCTTGGAAACCCTATACAGGGTCATTATGAGTCAGAAAACGCCCCATGGTACTTATGGTGCTATTTTAAATGCTTTACAAGAAAAAACTCATCAAACCTTCTTAAAAACCATATGAGGCAGGTACTATTACGTTAACTATAATAAGATACAGATATAACTTATGAATGCCATATTACATGAAACAATCTCCTACTTTAGTATTCCTGGCTTCAAAATCCGTCTCTTACCATCAAATAGGCAATCTGGGAAAGGCTTTACTGCGCTTCTATAAAAGCGATTTCATGATTTCATTTTGGAGAAATCCTTATTTCCTCTTTAAACATGTTGGTTTACAGAAACTATGGTTGGACAAGAGAATTTCTAAGTTTTCTTCCAGCTCTAGTATTTTGTGGCGTCACACAGTAGTATTGTTAAGTACTCTCGACTCAATTCCGACTCGTAGCAGCCCTTTCTATTTAGGGTCTTCCAAGGCTGCGCATCTTTACAGGGAGCAGAAAGTCTCATCTTTCTCCTGTGGCGTGGGCTGTACGCTTGAACCACCAAATGGTTAGCAGTCCAATGCCTATCCTGGTACACAGCCTCAATTAAGTTCAAAGCAGTACTTGAAGATTTATAAGTAGTCAGTCTAGGCTTTTAACAAATAAACATCAGCAGCAGGAGTTCACGCTTCCTAATCAAAGTCTTCATGTGTCTGGTACCCACTCTGCCCTGTCTAGTAGGTAACAAGCGCACTGCCATGGTAGCACCCATCTACTCTTCTGCGATTCCTCAGGCACATATATGATAGGGTGTAAACAGAAGTGGAGGAGAGAGAGATTCACACCTCAATTCACTAAAGTAAGGATCCGCAGACATTCTGTAAAGGACAGTTTTATGGGCCACATAGACACTGTATTACTATTCTTTGTTGCTGTTTTCATAACTGTTTAAAAATGTAAAAACCATTCTTAGTGTCAAGCCTGAATTTACATACAAACAAAAAACATGCCCCATGCCCCAGGTGGGCAGTAGCTTGCAGATCTCCGTGATCTAAAGCATACCTTTCTCTCTTGCAGATCTCCGTGATCTAAAGCATACCTTTCTCTCTTGCAGATCTCCGTGATCTAAAGCATACTTTTCTCTCATGTATTTCCAACAAAATCTGACTGAATGCCTACTACATGCTGGATCCTGAGAATGAACTATGGTACTGAAACTCTAGTAAGCAAACTTACTTCAGGTTAGGAACACACTTTGAATTCCACCACCAACTGTCAGTTCCATAAATAGTAACGCTCGGGTTACCCCTACCACTGAATTTCACTCCTGTTCAACTAAGTAAATGTCAGGCATTCTTACCAATTGCACCTGCCAACTGAAAATCCAAAGTCAAGTGTTGCCCTGCACTCAGCATGTGCTGTGGAACCTCTGGTGGTTTAAGGCATGACTCCAGACAGCATGCCCTTTCCCATGCACAAATTTTGACTCCGGTTGCAGAAGCTAAATATAACATCTGCACTTGAGTGAGTTTACTACAAAGTAACAGACAGACTGCCATATACCAACTACAAGACTAAGAGGAAAAGAGTCAAACTTCCCTATTTTAGAAGGAATTGATTTAAGACACTTAGAACATACACAGTTTTGTTTTGTTTTTTTTAAAAAGTCCTAATTTGGTCACTACATGACTTTCTAGGTCACACAGAAAGATTTCACACCTAGGTCACTTAGCACCCCAAATGTTACCTGCCACTTGAAGGGCATTCTTTATAAAATCCAGGCAATCCAGAGGCAAACAGAGCTCAAGTTTCACATGTGTATGAGGCCAGGCAGGAGCCCTAAATGCATGAGGGAGTAGAGGGGAAATACACATTCCTGCTCTCAGGGGAGCAGGTACCCAGACCTCAGTTCCCTGATGGTTGCTGTACAACCACCCCAAGGCCAAATGTTGCCAACTTGTCTCATTTTAAAAGAGAAACCAGAAATTCACATTTCAATGTGCTATCATGGGACTTTTAAATGTTGCAGCTAACATGTAGAAAAATTTTAACTTTGGCAGCCCCAGACAAAAATACCAAGAAAGGATTTCCAGAGAATGTACCGTTAGATGAGAAAGAGGTGGCCTAAAAACTAGCATTTTAGCAACTGTACAATTACTGGACCTGTTATATAACAATAACAACTAATTTTTGTTTTTTGTGAACAGTTAACTATACGACAGTTGATAAAATTTGTATAAGGGAGCAATGGTGGCACTGCATGATACACAATGGCTTGATAAACACAGGCAACAGTTTAAACCCACCAGTCACTCTGCAGCAAAGCATGAAGCTATCTGTTCCTGTAAAGATTCACAGCTTCAGAAAGTCAACACAGGATTGCTATGAGTTGGAACTGACTCACTGTCAATGGATTTATTTTCTGTTTTGGGCAGTTTGCATGTATTTTAACAATCTCAAGTCCTGTGTTCCTATTATCCCTATAGAAGAAACCAAGACACAGATGAAGCAAGTTGTCAATCTAAGGTTTATCTGACTCTAGAGTCTATATACTGTGCTACACTGAGCAAGCCACCTAGAGAGCAACCATTCATGATTAATAGAATTTGTCACAAATGTGCATGTTATTCAATAGGAATACAGAGACAGGTGAAAAGCCAATAAACACCTCTTTAAAGGAGTAAATGGGGTCCTGGTGTGATGCTAACCCTTGGCAGGCAGTTGAAACCCACCAGTCACTCCTTGGAAACTCTATATAGGGTACTATGAGAAGGAACTTGACGGCACTTAACAACAAAGACACAAATGGCAGCTCTCATTTTGGACTTAATAACTTCTATGCTATTCTTGGCAAATATTTTTTAATGTTAACTGCCAAAGGAAGTCAAAGTTCCTTTCTTCCTTGGATACAATGAGGAGGGGAGAAAGAGACCAGCATGTAATAAATACGAACTGAAGGAGGGCAAGGGTCATGGCGTTGTTTGTCTTTCTTCCAGGGGAATGAGGGAATTAATTATGTTTAACTATGTACCAGAAGGAGCTCTGTGCTCCATAGGGTTTTCAATGGCTGATTTTTAGAAGTCTCCAGGTCTTTCTTTTGAGACATCTCTGGGTGAACGAACTTGAACCTCCAACCTTCTGGTTAGCAGCCAAGTGCGTTAACTGTTTACACCATCTGGGAACTCCATACTTAAACTCCTACTAACCCCCCCCCATTGATTCCAACTATAGGACAGAGTAGAAACCAGCCATGGGATTTCTAAGACTGTAATCTTCATGTAAGCAGTCACATCTTTCTTCTGCAAACCTTCCCTAGGTGGTGTGTTGTTGTTCAGTGTAGTCGAGTCAATTCTGACCCATAGCGACCCTGTACAGGGTTTCCAAGGAGTGACTGGTGAGCTTGAACCACCAACCTTGCAATTCAAATGACTGCAGTCCAGCGAGCACCTTAAATCTTGGAAGTATTTCTCAAAGTACACTAGTTTCCTGGTGGCAATGACTGGTGAACAGCTGGCCAGATGTGGCAAGACTATCTTGAGCCTTATGAGCAGTTTTGGCAACAGAAGGTGGCCTCGCAAAGCAGTCACACAGGCCACTAGAAAGGTGCAATTCCTTTTCCCTCATGCTACCTTGGTGACCAGAGGGGCTGGCCAGCTCTCCCCGTCATCTACTGCTACTAAAGTGAAGTGGGGATAGGCTCTGCCGCTTTGGGATTCAGGTGGGATCGGCTTAAGACCTACAGCACCTACAGAACCACCAGACCAACAGTTAACTACG